CGGCTTGGAGACCGGCGGACGTGGTCCGCGCAGCGCCGGCCTGGCCTGGGGAAAACGAGCTTCCCGGGCGCAGCTGTGCGGGCCCCGGTGGTGTCGGGCGGAGGCCGCAGGTCGGGTCCCGTAGCCGGGCCCAGCTCCGCTGTGCGGCGTCTCGGCGCAGCCGGCCGCTCGCCCTCCTCCGGGGTTACGTGTGGAAAGCTGTTTTCCCTGCTTCTCACTTCCGGATCCCTAGGTCTTTCTGCCTGGTGGGCTTTTAAACGTTTCTGTGCATTTGTGTGCGTTTGGTTTAAAACCTGGGTGGGCGCTGAGGCCCATTGAGAGTAGGTGTGCCTGCTGATCGGTGTGTTTCCGGGGTTAGATTTTAAAGCCTCCCATCATCCCCCTTGCTTTTAAGTAAGTTTTGCAGTAACTGTTTGAAAAATTGCCCAATTAATACAAGTTTTAGACCTTTTGAATGTAAAGGGAGGGATGTTAGATGTGTTCTTGAAACGGTCAGTTTAGATTCTGCAAAGCTTTTTAAAGTAGAAATACAGGTAACTTAGTGGCATCAGGAGGTTGTAGAGGGAGAAGATGAAGCTTGTTTTTGAAAGTAAAGAAACTTTCCTTTGCCTCATGACTTGGAAATACTAATTGATAGTTTAAACCATTAGTCAAAGACCTGCACTTGTTGACAATATTGTTATACTAAGATCCTAAGTTTTAGCTTTAACCGGTTGTTCAAGCTGGAGTGCACCAGTGGTCAGGATTCTGTGCCGTTTCCTTTGCTGTCCTGAGTGTGCAGGAGAGACAGGTTTAAGGGAGAAGAGCTAAAATGAGTGAGAGTTATGTGTGGTACATGGACCAAGGGTTGATTTCTCTTTAGCATTGTTTTGGGTATGCAAGACATTTGCTGCTTGTGGTCTGATCCTGGAGTAAAATAAAGGAGCAGGTCTTGAAATTGTATTTGGAAATTTTATAGCAAGAAAAGGGAAATGTTTAATTGTAGGATTCTGTTTGTAAGGGGGAGACTGGAAAGGTTAAATGGAACAAGACTTCATTTCCTCATTTCAAATATCGCCCCCCACCCCAAGTCCCCTAAGCTTGTAGAATAGCACCTTCTGTTAGCCCTTTGCTGCTCTTGGGTAACGCATGACTCCTGGTGCTCTTGCAAGGGAACCCATTTCCATGGGTTTTGTATTTGCATGGGCTTTTTGTTTTTTTTTTAACTGGTTGGAGCTTCATCTGTGTTATTTGTGTACTTTCTCAGAAAAAGCTTGTGGCGAAGGGGGGCAAAAAAAAGAAGCAGGTTCTGAAATTCACCCTTGATTGCACTCACCCTGTAGAAGATGGAATCATGGATGCTGCCAATTTCGTAAGTTCCATCCTGCTTGCCACTGTGGACTTGGGAGGTGATGAGCCTTTTGAGATGCTGTTGAAAAGCCTACTGGGGTACATTTTTGTGTTTAGGCATGTAGGTACTCCGCACTTAACCTCTGAGGAGCACAGGCAAATTACTTCTTTCAAGTTCCACTTTCTCTGTGCATCAGTTATGAGGAATAAATGAGAAAGGTTTAACATAAGTAAGGTGGTTCCAGCACACAGGTGGAGTATGATTTTATTTCCCTCCTCCCTGTTAGTTATCGTAGATGCTTTTACTTTAAAGTTACCACTGGAGCTCCATTGGGACCAGTACTGCCCTTGCACTTTGGTAAGTTGAAGCATTAAGTGATGGGCAGCCTCATCTTGCATCTCACTGTGGCTTCTCAGACAGATGGCAGCGCTCCTGAGCTTCAGTGTTAACTTTAAAATGTCGTGCTTGCTGAATTGTCATTGACATTTTTTTCCCCCAAACCTTGTATGGATTTTTGCCTCTATATTTGTTGCCATTCCCCAACCTTCTTGTATTCCACTTCAATCTAGAATTATGAAATAATCTCACTGGTGCGTTTTGACTGTCGCTTGGTTTTGGCTCTCACAGCTGCTCTTGGGGAATTTGGACTTAGTATTTATGTGCAGGAGTCTCCTGAATTTACATTTGCTCTTCAAACTCTTGACACTTCTGTTGCCAAGATTATTACAAAAATAATTTTCAAATTAAAAAAAAAGTTAAAAACTTGGCTTACAATCACTCATTGCTTATTCCCTTTACAAGGGTGCCCGTTGTGTTCTTATTCTTCAAGAAGTCCCTCAGGTGACTTATTTCTTCTGTCTCATGACTTCTTACTTTTCACTGTGGCCTTTTTTTCCCTCCTAACACTGGTGTTGTTTTCTTGTTGGGTATCTCAGTGGTATCCCAGGCCTCCCCTGCCTCTTCTTTGCAGGTCAGGCCAGGCCAGTCCAGTCCAGCTGATTCCTTAGCAACTCATCTGTATGAATGTCTTTTCTTCTAGAAACCTCCTCAGGGTGGAAAACTTAGGTCATTTATGAACTTAGGATGCACAATGCAAGATTTCTGACCTAATCAGTTGGCCCCATCTGCAGTTAACCTTTTGAGTTGGAGTTTTTAAAAAGAGAATGCATAGCCTTTTTTTTTTTCCCCCTTAATGTGCTGTGGGTTGAACCCAGGCCTCACATATGCCAAGTAAGCATTCTATCCCTGAGCTATATCCCTAGCCCCCCTACCCCTTTTTTAAAAATCATGGTCCTGGGGGGAGACTCAGGGCCTCTGTTACTGCTAGGCAAGCATTCTTCTACTGACTTACATGTTTAGCCCTGAAAATTTTGAAGTTTTAGGCTGAAAGAGACTTTATCTTGTTGCTATAGCCAAAAAACCAGAAAAGTCCTTTTTGGATCAAGATTCCTAAAGCCAGAGATGTGGCTTGCCCATGCTTGTACTAGGTGGTGTGCAGAGTGTATCCCTGGGCCTACTGCCCCTTCTGCTGTACCATCCACATGGCCCTAGGCATGGAATGGTTTTGGCTACTATATGTTGGTGCTCATCTTCTCTGGAAGTGTTGAGAACGGTGCTGCATGCTCCTTGGATTCTGAAGTACTTGCAGCCTTGCTTGTGTGTTCCTTATAAAAGTTTGACTTTGGGTTTCCCCTCTATTTTTTATAATGTGACCCAAGAGTAAGTTGCTGGCTAAGACTTCCATGTGGAGGTGAATTTGATCTTCCTTGGAGACAGTCATATATGTTCGCGAGTGGACAGTATGGTCATAGTGCATGTAAATAAGGCTGAATAGTTCAGACTCTGAGTAGCTGAAAATTTGTTGTCATTCAAATCTAATTTAAAAAGCAACTGAGAATGTAGCTGAGTGGTAGAGTACTTGCCTAGCTTAAACGAGGTCCTAGGTTCAATCTCCACAACAACAACAACAAAAAGGAATAAATAAAGCGGCAAGGCAACTATGTGGTTTAGTATTGGGAAAACAAGCAAAATATGCTGTTGACACAGGTGAACCTGTCCTTTAATTGGTCAATTTGATAATTTCCTTTCTACAGGAGCAGTTTCTCCAAGAGAGAATCAAAGTGAATGGAAAAGCTGGAAATCTTGGTGGAGGTGTTGTGACCATTGAAAGGAGCAAAAGCAAGATCACTGTAACATCTGAGGTGCCTTTTTCCAAAAGGTATGGAAGGCGGGTGTCACTGCTCTGGCCCGCCCCAGTGCATGGGAATGTGGCCACCAGCGGTTTGTTTGGTGGTTGCATCTGCTAATCACTGGAACAGTGCTTAGTGCAAGAAGACAGACAGCATGTGTCAGCACAGTAGTTCTCAGTACTCAACTTTGGTCATTTAAAGTTTGTCTTTCACAGGCTAAAGTATTGCAGATAGTAAAGGTGCTTAGACTTGCTTAGACTGCATTAAAAATGAAGATCTTGCTCCTTCTGCTTTTAGATCACAGTGAGCAACTTTCACTTTTTTTTTTTTAAAGAGAGAGAGAGGGAGAGAGAATTTTTTTAATATTTATTTTTTAGATTTTGGCGGATACAACATCTTTGTTTGTATGCGGTGCTGAGGATCAAACCCGGGCCGCACGCATGCCAGGCGAGCGCGCTACCGCTTGAGCCACATCCCCAGCCCAACTTTCAATTTTAATTCCATCTTTATTCTCTGTGTTATGTGGCATTGGATAAGGAATCTGGAGCTCAGCTGGGACTGAAGCCATTGCAGTTCATTGCTGTGGGCCTTTTCAAGAGGGCGGGAGGAGTTCTTTTGTCTCTACTACCCTACTTACAGGAGGATGAGGTTGAGAGACTACATGTCATTTTACAGAGTTCGGCTTGTTTATACCCACTTCTTAGCAAAGGCCTGGCATATTCTCAGGAGCTTTCTTTTTTTAAAAAAAAAATATTTATTTTTAAAATTTTTTTAGTTGTAGATAAACACAATATCTTCACTTTTATTTATTTATTTTTATGTGGTGCTGAGGATCGAACCCAGGGCCTCATGCATGCAAGGCAAGCACTCTGCCACTGAGCCACAACCCCAGCCCCAAGGAGCTTTCCTCATATTGTATTAGGTAGAGGGAAATTTTAGGGTGTACCAGCATACACTGGTTGTAGTTAAGCCTTTCAGTGAGGTATGGAGGCCTTTCTGGCTGAGTTCCTCTAATTGCTGGAAAGGAGATTTGATAGAGGAAGAGATAGGACAGCTGTGGGACCTGCATGGTGCTCAGACATTCAACCTGTGAGGCTCTGGCAGTAACGGCCTTTGGAAGATTTCACTATCTTCCTGAGACACATCCCCCTACCTTTTTTTTATATATATATATATATATATATTTTAGTTGTAGATAAACACAATATTTATTTTTATGTGGTGATGAGGATTGAACCCATGCCTACATGTGCGAGGCAAGCACTTTACCCCTAAGCTACAGCCTCAGCCCTTCCTGAGACCTCGTTAGCATCTGTTATGAGGATGTCCCCTGACACATTTTTCTTTAGTGTTCAAAGATTTTCTCATCTTTCCCTCGTGGAGGGAAGGAACTTTAATCTTCTGTGGCTTTCCCTTCTTGCTGATAATAGTTTTCCTGAAACGTTTAAGGGTGTTTCTTAATCTAGATCCTGCCCCCTTATCTCTGGACTTTCTATCTCTCTATTATTTTTTTATCTATTTTGTTCTGGGAATTGAACCCAGGAGTGCTACATCCCCGCCCTTTTTATTTTTCATTTTTAAATTTTGAGATAGTCTTGCCAAGTTAGTTAGAGCCTCAGCCTCTGGAGTTGCTAGGATTATAGAGATTTCAGGTGTGGGCCACTATACTGCCTTCTAGAGAGTTTTTTTTTTTTTTTAATGAGATTTTAAACATGTCATTTGAATATAGTATGGTACAAATAATAAATGACAAGAGAATCCTTAAATGGAAAGAGTGGGTAGGTTTGGTCTGAATCTTCAGCCCTGCAGATTGCTTTGGCTGCTAACCAGTGCTCCTTTCTTGGTTCATTTCTTGGGTCACTAGCATTTGGGTTCTTGCTAATAAGTCAAGATTTACCTATACATTTCATGTAGTCCTTGTGGTAGTCTGAAGAGCTGGTAAGTATTTTGTGTTCAATTTTGTAGTAGGAGAAACAGGCATGGAGAGGATAATTTGCCTGGGAGGTGGTTTGTGCTGCATTGTGGTCCCTTTTCCTTTTGTGACTTCATGAGGATGTGGAACCTCAGGGCTTCACAAGCAAACGGATCAGGGAACAAACACTTACAGGTTGGGTCATCTCCATGTCATGAGGATATTGGCCACAGAAGCTGGCCACTGCCTTCCATTTTCTAGTGATTGAGAAGCTCCCGCTTTTGCTCATGCTGTAGTTGGGTAGATGAATTGAAAAAAATCTGAGCACAGCTGGAGTGCAGCCCAGTGTAGAGTGCTTGTCTGGCCTGGGTTCATCACCAGGACTGTACATACACACAAAAGCACCCTCCAAACCATACCTTTATGCCATGTGCTATGCCACACACCCATAGTACCACTACTCAGGAGGCTGAAATAGGAGGGAGGATTCATTAGCCCAGGAGTTCAGAGCCAGCCTGGGCAACACAGTAAGACCTGTCTCAAAAATATCTGACCACTCTGCTGGAGGGAGGATAGTAGCAGGGTGCACTCTGACCCCTGCATTGGGCAGTGATCATTGCACCTGAGAAATGGGCAACCTACCAAGCAGCGGACCTACACCACAGGAGTTCTGGTCTGTGAGGGGTGTGGAGTCCTTAGAGCTCCTAGGAAGCGCAGTGTTTCTCAGTGCAGGTGTTAAGATTTTTTGCCTGTCAGTTTACTCTGGCATCTTTTTCTGCAGTGGTCACTTACAAACCATTTGGCAGTTGTTTGCTGCTGTTTAACAGACAACTATTACATTTGCTAATCTGTTCTCCTTTTTACTGTCAATTAGGTGACTCATGTCTGACATTCTTTTTAGTGCACTAGCTGAGTATGTTTTCTTTATCTTTTTTTTTTTGAAAGGTTGGGAAAACATCTTTAGTGTAATGTGTTGGGTTTTTTTATATTTATTTTTTTAATTTTAGGTGGACACAATATCTTTACTTTGTTTTTATGTGGTGCTGAGAATCGAACCCAGTGCCTCACGTATGCTAGGCAAGCACGCTGCCACTTGAGCCACATCCTCAGCCCCAGTGCAATGGTTTTGAATGTATGGTTTGTGTAAAAGTTAAAATGTCTCAGAATGCAAGAAGGCCATCTGTCTAGCATAGTTCTTAAGTGTCCTTTCTCTGCAGGTATTTGAAATATCTCACCAAAAAGTATTTGAAGAAGAATAATCTACGCGACTGGTTGCGTGTAGTCGCTAACAGCAAAGAGAGTTATGAATTACGTTACTTCCAGATTAACCAGGATGAAGAGGAGGAGGAAGATGAGGATTAAAACTCTTTTATCTGGAATATTTTGTATGAGTTCTTGAATAAAACTTGGGAACCAAAACAGTGGTTTATCCTTGTATCTCTGCAGTGTGACTCGAACAGAGAATGGGAACCATGGCAGATGGGCTTTATGGGCTTCCACTCGCTTACTTGTGATTACCTTTTCTTTTCTGCTTGGAAATTTCATTTCTTACAGTAGTAACCAAAGTAGGAGGAGAAGGCTGATGGAAGGGCACTAAGGAGTGTCCAGCACTGAGCAGTAGATTGAGGGTGTGGAGATGCAAGCTTCACTTGGTCTCTATTTTATTTTTAAAAGTACAATTGTATTTGGTTATTTTCTCAAAGGAAGATTGAGGGACTCAATGTGCGGTTTCTCATTCATTAAAAACAAAACTAGTGATATTGTTCTAAGATCGCCTTGTGGGAAATGGCAGTGTCAATGACATGCGGGTTTCTAGACTTCTGTCTTCATTTTAAATTACAAATTACTTTTAATGCTCACAACTATGTACGCTAATCCTTTTTCTTTCTATGCCAATAAAATGTAATCCTTTAGCTTTGCTGTGTTCTACCCTTCACAAAAGGGTTTGGAGAGCAATTGTATAAAAATGAATTTGTAAATATTTCTACAAGTCTTTGCCACAGACTGTCACTCTGGCCTCCAGCAGAGGGAGCTGGAGACATCAATAGAGTGGCAATCTGTGAGTTCCCTAGAGGGGAGCCATTTGATGCCCAGGGCTCCAGAGGATTGCTTGGAGTGGGGCTTGAGAGGCCATTGGGGAATGTTTCTTGCTGAGGATTTGGGAATTGCCCAGGAAATAGTTGTTTCTACACCACATAAGACCATGACTGGACTTCATGTCTAAAGTCCCCAGTGGTAGAAGAGTTGATTAACATGAATAAAGCCCTGGGTTCCATCCCCAATATCACACAAAAACTCCTGTGAAATGGTATGTCTGCTTGGGATTTCGTGTCAAATGTATGCAGAGGCTAGGGGACTTGATAATGGGAAGGGCATCAGTGGCCACATCATTGAAAGAGCCTGATAACAATGAAACCTTCTGAAATCCAAACAATTCTGCACAAGTGTCTGCCTTGTTGTAATTATGCTGTATAAAAATTCATGTTTTAAAGAGCTGACCTCCACCTGATTTCCATACCTGAAATGACAGCTCTCTGAGCTGCACAGCTGGAAATTAAATGTCCAGGTCCCACCATGGCTCCAATTTAACATTTGGTGCTTCTTGGATTGAGCTTAACATGTTGAGGTTTTGCAATTTCACTTGTGGCAAAGGCTCTTGCATTTTCTATTTCTATGCAAATTTCTTGAGGCAGAATTGTTTGCACATTTCTCCTCTGCCCTCACAGAAGGCAGCATTTCTTTCAAACCTAACAGAGGCATCAGTTGCTCTTTGGCTGTGTCCCTTACCATGATTATTAACTTTATATGTGTGTGACTTGGGTTTGCAAATTTGTTGCATAGCGTTTCCATGTAGTAATTCTTAGTTTGGCTGTTAAAAAAATTAACCCTGGACTAAGATTAGCGGTTTTTTTTAAATGGTCCTCTGCAATTTTAAGAAGTGTAATAAAATTGAAATTCACTGGTTTTTCTATGCCTTTTTGAACTCTTGTAATTGAGTTTGATCACGTTTTATATTAAAGAGGCTAACACATGACTACTATTATTGTGCAAGCCTTTTTTTTTTTTTTTTAAAGGACTGATATGTTAACCTTTATTCTCTGAGTGCTGATGAGGTGTGGAGTAAAATATGTCCTTAATCTTCATTTTTTACTCTGCTGTTTGCTTCCATGAGATTCTGGAGTTGGCTGAGCTTCATAGTCTGGAGAAGAGCTTTGCAAACCATACCTTTTTCTGGTGGGAAATATATAGTGTAGGCTTGAGTCACATTGCTCCTGCCACAGCAACTCCACCCAGGGCACCTCTTGGTCCATTTCCCTCTGTCTGTCTGGTACTGTTCCTCACCTGCCTGATTGGAAATGCCAGGGCCCCGAAACCTTGGGATCACTGAGTTTTAAACTGTGATGTAAGTTCTCGTTAAGTCACAAAATAGAATGTTGGCACTGTGGTTGTCACAAATGCCCTCCTCCCAAGTGCAGCTGAAGGACTGTGGTATGCCAGGGTCTCACCATTTCTGAAGGTGAGACCCTTTAACAATAAGAGCTCAATTATTGTTAAAAGTGAGACCCTTTAACAATAATAAGAGTTCTCCTGTTAAAATTACTGAAGACTTAGCCCCCTCTTCTGTGACTGGGGAATAGTGTCATGGTCCTCAGGAATAGCCGGGCGTTGAGGCACAAGAGTCCCAAGCTTGCTTGTTGGTGCCTTGAGCAGTGTTGAGCCACGAGGGGGGAGGGGAGTGCACTCACACCAGATGCCTTTAAGGCAGTTGCTGTCTGGGGATGTTTAACCTCATTCTTTTTAGGGGACACTTGGTTGGTTAGAAGGTGAAAAGGATCCCCTTGAAGGGGCAGTGGTCCCTCTTGGTAACTTCAGGAGATCCTGGAAGCTGCTTTCTTGTGCTCAGGGCTTGACCCCAAACTCTTGAAGTGTGAGTGGGGAGGAGAGGGGAACCTAGGATGTGGACCATTTACAAGGAGCAGCTGCAGGTCTGGCAGTACCAAGGGGGCACTCTTGGATGAGGCTGCTGGGCCAGAAGCCCTGGGTAGCCATTGGAGGGAAGTCCTTTGGCTGGATCATGGTAATGGGTTTGTACTTGGGGGAATAAGCCTTCGAGGGGGATTCTCTGAGGAGAGGAAGGTGGGAAGAGGCTTGCTGTTGGGGGCTCTCCAGTCTCAGCAAGAAGGTGGTGCTGAAGGACACAGGTACCGTGATGGTGCTTATTTCTGGGAACAAAACCCAGTAATTTCTAATCCAGCCATTTTCCTGCTCTGGGGATGGATTTGAGAATCACATTGGTTTTCTTCGGGCTGTTTTAGACCAGGCAGGACCTTTGCATTCCAAGTCTGGACTGTCCTGCTGAGGGACTTCACCGCTGACCTTCGCTGGATTCCAGGTTGCACCATCAGTAAGCTTAAGCCTACTGTCAGGTTCAGGGCTGTGGCCCGGGGCTCCCTTTCTGAGAAGCTACTGCCTGCCTCCCCCACCACCCCAGGTGGTTTGTGCAAGGTCCCTATGTGGAGGAAAAGGCCTCAATTAGAAGCCAGGTCTTGGTCTGCAGAAGGACAATGGTTCCTCCAACCAGAGGACACTTCCAAATTCCGGCTGATGAAATTCCTCACTGCTGAGCAGAAGGTGTCCAGCAGAGGCTTGATCTTTCTAGGTACAAGCGCGTCACTGTCCTCCAGAAGCCTGAAATCAGTGAAGTAGCCAACAAGGTGGTCTTGGTGAGGAGACAGGTTTTGAAGGAACGGTCCCCAGGTATGACTTGGGTTATCCATGAGAAATTCACATGGATGAGTACCATTATGTGCAGAAGGTGATTATCTCTTTCAACTCTAAGGGGAAAAAACTTTCCTTGATGCTTTTGTAACTAATATATTTTTAAAATATTGTGATTTTTGAATTGCCACTGAGGTGTAATTACAAGTTCTGTGATTAGCAAACATGAGTGTCTTGTCTACTGAAACTATAACCTTAATGATAGGCTTATTCTTGTGACTGCGGTTTATTGAATGTTCACCTTTTTAGGGATTGCTTTTAACATCAGGCATTTTGGGACCATTGTCACTGAAGACACACATTTAATAGTTTTAACAATAATAAGAACTCTCCTTTTAAAATTACTGATGATTTGTAGTAAAAAAAACCATTTATTTCCACTATCCCAGTTTTTGTCTTTCTTTCCTTTTGGGTATTAGCTAATGTTACCCAGCAGCAGTCACGGGGAGAGCAGGCTAGGGAGGGAGAGCATCCTGAGTGATGAGCATCTTGGCTCTAATTTGTTGCAAATTAAGCAGTTGGAGCTTTTCCATGGTGAATGATATCTTGACTTTCTCAGCCTTGCTTTGGGAATTGGAGCCAAGGTTAATGGTGTGTGTGTGTGTGTGTGTGTGTGTGTGTGTGTGTGTATGCACTCATACACACACACACGTGGTGGGGGCTTTCTGGTATTAAGAAATATTAAGTCAAAATTCCCTGCAGTGGGTTGGGGGATCACCACTAGCTGTACCAGGGTGCTGGTGATGGAGGGTGGGTGTGTTTGGTGAATCGTAGGGTTTTTTCCCTGGGAAGTTATGAGTCAGGGAAACAGGTGGACTTGAAAGAGCCAGAAGCCTTTCAGGGAACACACGCAGGCCTGGCTCCAGCCTAGTGATCTGGGGCTCCCCTTGGCTAGCTGATCAGTGGTGAGGACAGTTTTGCGGAGGGAGGTCCTTTGGTTCCTTAGCCTGCTTGCTGCTGACTGCCCCTTTCCTCTGATAGGTGGCCTGCAGTATTCTGATCCAGCATCTTTATGTACAGTGTGCTTTAAAATAGGCATGGTGGCACACACCTGTAATCCTAGTGACTTGGGAGGCTGAGGTAGGAGGATCATAAGTTCATGGCCAGCCTCAGCAATTTAGCAAGCCCCGGTCTCAAAAAAGGACTGGGGATATAGTTGAGTAGTAAAGCGCTTATAGGTTCAATCCCCATTGCCAAGAAAAAAAGAAAGACCTGAGAGATGAAGTGGATTCTCAGTACCTTGCACTTTGATCCTGGAAGGCTGGACAGACCTGCCTTTGCCTAGGATGAAAAAAGAGATTTTGGGGCTCAATGGCAATTAACTTGGGTTGCACCAGGATAAAGCTTTGCCCAAAACCTTTACAACCCTCCCTGGGCCATAGATACAGCTGTCCAGCAGCATGGGTTGTAGCAACCTCCCCAAAGAGGTCTCCCTCTGGGGTCCTTCAGCCAAGTGGATACAATTTTCATGATTCTCCAAAAGTGCCAGGGCAGGGAAAACCCTCCTGGTGATGGATGCCTGGGTGGGACAGGTGCTAAGCCAAGACCAGAGGGTTTGCCCTATATTCCTCTTCCATCGCCTTGAGGTTCCCAAGTCAGGCAGAGCCTGGCTTCCGTGGCTGCAGCGGGTTTCCAGTGGACCTCTCACGTGTCTGGCTACAGGTAGTGAGATGAAGTTGCCCGTCTTACTGGTCCTTCAGGGATAAGAGTTGGTGATCCTGCGGGTCACTGAAACTTCCGCGCGTTTTTAAAGTAGCTTTAAGACTTGCTGCAGCGAGACTGAATGCACTCACTTAAAATTCGTCTTGCTCCTGCAGGGCTTAGGCCTCCTTTCTTACCTTTGGCAGCGGAGGCTCCTTCGCGTTTCGCCACAGGTGTTGCTTCTGAGTGGGAGTTTGGGGCGCAGACCACGCAGGGCCACACAACCCCCAGGGATCTGGATGTGTAGGAATTGGAATCAGTCCAGGAGGCTTGCTTTGGAAGAAGACACGTGGGGGGTGGGCACAAGCATCCTCACGGAATCAGCCCCACTGTCTCCAGAACGTCCCTTCCCCAAATGCAGACCACATTTTTCTTCTAGTCTTCATTCGAAATGGGTTGAGAGAGGAGATTAGAAGCATGTCAAGGCCGGAACCGGGTGCGGGGCGGGTCTTGGCGCGTGTCAGCCTAGTGGGGCGCTTCCTCCTCGCAGCCCCGGAGACCCCGCCTCCGCGCCCTTGGGGACCCGGGCCCGGCGCCTCCGTGGGCGGGGCGGCTGTGGCTGGCTCTGCTCTGGGCGCGCGGGGGCGGCGTTTCCCCGCCTGCTCCTGCGCT